CCTGTATTTGGCAGCGTACGTACGGCGGAAGCTCGCTCACAGCTGGCGTCGAAATTAGTGTCACATTGCCATCAGTCGTTGTTGCTGTCTTCTGGCCTGTTTCTAAATTGTAACCTAGTCAATAAAATCTTCCGTCTTCATATCTCTGCTCAAAGTGGTACCCTTGTCGCGCTAACAGTGATAAAAGAATATGTCTCTATGGCAACGGTGTGCCGCCTTATAACGTCGTTTTAGTTGTATTACATTGCAAGTCAGATGACAGATTATAAAAGAATATAACCATAGAAATAAAGTTTTTGTAAAATAACTGAGATGAATGTTTTAATTGACATGAAAAGAACACTAAAATGTAACTATCAACAGGGAAGAAATTCATTTCCTTATAATTATTTTTTCTTAAACATTATCTAATAATCGCACTTTACTTCATCAGATGTGCTTAATCATTCAGCAGACTTATGCGCGAGTTACAAGATGCACTTCCCACCCCCGACCCCAGCGGCATTAAATGCCCTCACCAAGTGCTCACTCCAGCAGGATCTGTAATTCTGGGTTCACACGTAGCCTCCATTTACCGCAGCTAACATGAAACGAACCTGTTTGCCTGGCAATCGCAATCGCACAACGTCTACGTCCGTTATTCCCATCCACACTTACATGGATTACAGAAACATCGATTAATACTTAAGATGTAGCCTTTGTTTCTGTAAAAGAGGTGTCGACCAGTCCTGGGGCAACAAGAATATCGCCGAAGATTGGTGTGATATTAAAAATAATCATTATTATATATAATATTGACAATAACAACCGACCGTCGAGGTATTAGGGATACGAATGTGACAACAATTTGAGTGTTAACAACATTTAAACATATCAATCTCACTAAAATTGGGTTGAACATCCGCTTTGTGGTCATAATGGCCAGCATAATATATACCCTCATTGGACAGCTAAGGTCAAAGACCTTATTAACAGCTGGTCTTTGTTGTGACCCTCCTGTTGTTCATTGATAAGCTGGAACTGCCACTGTCAAGGTTCAGAGGCAATATGGCAGTGCCCACGACATTAGATAATAGAATAAGCTAAGATATACTTGATTGTTCCAGTTGGAATGTTTTTGTTAACAGCATCATACTACTTTGTTCTACTCGACATACATTCGAGGTTTAACCTGATATTGTTACTCACTAAATTTGTTTTAGTTATTTGTCAGTTTATTATTTAAATGTTCATTCAAAACTAACATATTGAACAACCCCACAATTCATCAAAAACACACAAGGGATTAAAACAGGTTTCTTCTTACCATTGCAGTTTGGTTATCATAATGTAGCAACTGATTCAGAAACATAAAACAAAAACCAATCCAAAGGTCAAAATGCGACTCAAGCTATTATGTATTTGAGCTATTTTCTGGCATGGGTTATAAATGCAATGTAACAGGACACATTATATGCTATATTATAATATTACAGTATATTATATTATTATAAAACGGACAAGTCAAATCAAGCAATCTGATTGGTTCTTAGCCGTGATATACTGAGCGTATACCACGGGTAGAATTGTAAGTTACTTTTCACAACAAGTCAGTATCCCTCCGCGTCTGAGAAA